GGTATGTCATTGGTTTTAAGGTGTGTCTTTTGGGGCAATAAATTACAAGTGAAAAACATTTTTAAAGGATAAAATATGTTGTTAAACTATGCCTCCTAAGTACCTCAAATAAAGAGTACTCAAGAATTTCTTTTCCTTTAAAAGAGTTACTTCCATTTGAAAAACACTGAACTAAATTCCAATTCATAGCTGCCCTTCAAGACCTTGTTTTCCTAAGGTTTTAAGCAGCGTTCTGGGCAAAAAATCAACTTCCAAGAAGTGATTCACAACAAACAAGTCTGATCTAGAGAAAATTACCTAAAATTAAACAGGAGATAGTCTGAATATAACACAAAATCTTTCACCTAGTCTATTCCAGTTTCTGGCCCTAGTTTTACACATAGGAAAGGGAGCAGCTTTGGGAAGATGCAAAATAAGAAACCTCCAGACACTGAAATGCAAGCTGCCAGATGTACTGCTGCCAGCAGCTGGAGCAGCAGAAGAGACAGTGCCAGCATCTCAGGCACCCACTGCTTTGGCACATCAAGGTCCCCAGCATATCAGCTGTGTCAGCTGGATCATAGGACTTAACATAGTATGAGTTGTCAGCACAGAAGATGGCACCTTTGCAAAAGCATCAGCACCCAGGATGATGGCGTCATACAGCTGATGGCAACGCAGAAATCAGTGACCTGAGTAGTAGCTGTCACCACAGGGAGACAGAAGTAAAGCCTGAAGTGAATGCTTCGTGAAAACCAGGAGCACTAATGAAGTGAATGTAGGGGACCACCCCCAGAATCTGTATTACTGCTAAGGATGAATGGGAGCAGGATGGAAAACATTTGCAAACCAAGTAAAAGAAATCATGTTTGTTACTGTTATGGTGACCTTACTTTAACCCTAGGTTGGTATGGCCTGGAAAACATGGGTCAGAACTATACCTCTCAGCAAACCCATCCACACGAAAGAAGTCATGGTTCAGGAGCTCCGCACAGAAGGGCCTTTTGTCTGGGTCAATATGCAAGCATTTCTGAAAAATCAAAGAACACAGAGTTCATATCAAAGTAAAACTGCCTACAGGTTTTATAAAATTCTACTTTATCTTTATTGAATTGTAACTTTTATAACGAAAAAAATAAATGCAACAAAGTATTATTCGAAAAAGAAGAAAGCAGAAATCTAGACAAGGACTATCAATAGCCACTAACATCTGAAACAAACAGACCATCAGACATTCAGCACCTCTAGGTGGAAATATGTAAACCTCCTATGGAGCAGTCTTTCATCAAACCTGATTTTGATGAAACTCTAGGTGCACTGTAAGTTTATAAGAAATGTAGCGCATGGAGGAATATATTAAACTATATTATGTAGGAAATTCTAAGGGACAAACACCTTAGTTTCTTCAGCAAATAAATGATAAGATGAAAGGTATGAAGAGGAGATTATAAATTAAAAGGGTCTTCAAAGACCTATCAACCAATTGCAATTATAGACTTCATATGGGTCCCAATTCAAACTATAAAAAGAAGTTGAGACTGATTAGATATTTTATAGTATTATGAATAACTATGAAGTTTTAAAATCTAAAGTCTTTGCAGAATGATGAGAAAAGGACTTATTCTGTGATTCTTACTGTGTTATATGCATTACATTAAAAAAAACAACACTGCCATGACACCAATGCCAATGCCTACATAGCAACTCTATGTAGAGTTTCTAAGGCTGTAAATCTTTATGAGAGCAGACAGCCTCAACTTTCTCCTTCAGAGTGTCTGGTGGGTTTGAACCATTGACCTTGAGGTTAGCAGTCCAGCACTTTACAGAGATCATTTTTTAAATTTTAATGCAACATCTTGTTGTAACTAATTGAAATCTGTAAATGCCAGTTTAAAAAGAAGGAATTCAATAAAATACATTCAAAATATTTAAAGGTATATTAGGAATTGAATTATTTACAACTTAAATGATGTAATATCTAGGTTTGCTTCAAAACACTCCTCCCTAAAAAGTTAAGGGAGCAGGTATAGGACTAGATGGAACATGATTGACAACAGGTCTAAGAATATGAGTACACTATATTACCGTATATACTCGATTATAAGCCAACCCGAATATCAGTCGAGGCACCTAATTTTACCACACAAACTGCATTAAAAATGTGCTGAAAAACTCAGCTTATGCAGGGGAACAGGGCACTAACCCACCCAAGGGGAGGGTATTATTTATATCTCCACAGGGAAAGAGGGACCAGACTTCCACCTGGTGCTCCAAGATGTGAATGCAACATACCAACTTGAAGCAGGGAACCAGTAGAGAAGTTTGAGGGGCCAGCCCCAATCCCAACTCTGCAGACAGCCGCACCTACCCACAGAAGAATTTACTTCAGAGGACAGCACTGAAGCTACAGCTCAGGGAGAAGGACATGTCTGATCAGAGCACAAAAGAGCAATTGAAGTGGGTGGAAGAGAGAGTGGAGCACATCCTGGCCCACCAAGCCTTGAGGAAAACATCCCTGCTCACAGCAGCCAATACACAAAGAGGACCATATGGCCGGTCCCACTATGAGACACGATATCCCTCATTGACCCTACACTGACCCTACAGGGGACAACACTGGAGACCCAGTGTGGGAATTGCGCCTGATCTGACCCCACCAAGGCAAAACACTAAGGGCATGCAACAGAACAGCAAGGGGAACAGAACAACAAAGTCCCCAAGGAATACCAAAAATAGACTTTGGGGCCAGGGCGTGGCAACCCATCAGACTCAACTGGAAAACACTCCTAAAGGTCAACAAACAGACCTTGAACTATTTACAGACTTTTCTTTTTTTGGTCATTGTTTTGTTGTTGTTGTCCTTATTTTGTTTTCTTTTGTCACTTTGTTTTGCCCTGTCTTATTTTTTGTGCATATTATTATCTCTGCAGGTCTATCTATATAAGATAGGTTGGATAAAGCATCTGGAGGAGAAAACAACAAACTGATGGTTCCAGTGGAAGTGGGGGTAAAGGAAGTGGTGTTCACAAACTCAGGGACTAGGGAACAATAAGTGATCCAAAATCAGTGGCAAGGAAGGTGTAAGAGGCCTGGTAGGGATTGAGGGCAATGTAACTGAGAGGAATTACTGAAACCCAAATGAAGGCTGAGCATGATAGTGGGACAAGAGGAAAGGAAAGGGGAAAAAATGAGAGAACTAGGAGGCAAAGGGCATTTATACAGGTTTAAATATAGGCATGTACATATATAAATATATATATGAGGATGGGGAAATAGATCTATGTGCATATATTTAGAGGTTTAGTATTAAGGTAGCAGATGGACATTGGGCGTCCACTCAAGAACTTTCTCAATGAAAGAACACGTTGTTCTATTAAACTGGCATTCCATGATGCTCACATTCCTGACATAATCGCTGAAGACAAGGCAGGTGCATAAGCAAATGTGGTGACGAAAGCTGATGGTGCCCGGCTATCAAAAGATATAGCATCTGGGGTTTTAAAGGCTTGAAGGTAAACAAGTGGCCATCTAGCTCAGAACCAACAAAGCCCACTTGAAAGAAGCACACCAGCCTGTGTGGTCACGAGGTGCCAAAGGAATCAGGTATCAGGCATCAAAGAACAAAAATCATATCACTGTGAGTGAGAGGAAGTGCAGAGTGGAGACCCAAAGCCCATCTGTAGGCAACTGGACATCCCCTTACAGTAGGGTCACAGGGAGGAGACGAGCCAATCAGGGTGCAGTACAGCAACAATGAAACATACACCTTTCCTCTAGTTCTTTAATGTTTCCTCCCACCCCCCACCTCCCACTATCATGATCCTAATTCTACCTTACAAAACTGGCTAGACCAGAGGATGTACACTAGTACAAATCAGAGCTGGAAACACAGGGAAACCAGGACTGATAAACCTCTCATGACCAATAATGAGAGTAGAGATACCAGCAGGGGAAGGGGAAGGTCAGGGAGAAAGGGGAACCGATGACAATGATCTACATATAACGCCCTCCCTGGGGGATGGGCAACAGAAAAGTGGGTGAAGGGAGACATCAGACAGTGTAAGACATGAAAAAATAATAATTTATAAGTTATCAAAGATTCATGAGGGAGGGGGTGGTGGGGAGAGAGGGGAAACATGAGGAGCTGACACTCCGGGCTCAAGTAGAAAGCAAATGTTTTGAGAATGATGATGGCAACGAATGTACAAATGTACAGTACTTGACACAATGGATGAATGTATGGATTGTGATAAGAGTTGTACAAGCCCCAATAAAATGATTTTTAAAAAGCAAAGTTTGAATTTAAGCTAATTACATGTTTAGCTTTAATCCTCATTCTTGGAATCCTATATATTAAGCTCTACTTATAAACTCAAGAAATAAAATTTTTCCTCTAGTTCTTAAATGCTTCCCTCCCCCTACTATCATGATCCCAATTCTGCCTTGCAAATCTGGCTAGACCAGAG